GAGACAGGCCATCCAGTACCGACACTTGCGTATCTATCGAGACAGAAAGCCATCCAAAATACTCTCCTTCGCTCTTCTTTTTCAGACCAGTCCTTGGAAGGTGGCAAGGTCTGTTTGATGTTGAGACCATCTTCATCTATACCACATAGACCTAGCATCGTCGCCAGTCTGGCAGCTTTTCCAACACTCAGCCACGCTCGAGGAAGAAACATCATTTTGAACTCATATGTGCCGATGAGTACCCAGGTCTGACAATGTGAGATAGACACCACACGCTCACCAAGACCTTCTAACTCGTCCAATTCGGCGTACTTACGAGCTCGCTCGTAGAAAATACTGTGAAGACTGGAGTACTTGTCCGTGACAGACGCCGCATGGCACCAAATCATGTACTGTAAGCATATAGGAGGCCGTGAGGCAGGAGCAAGGCTTGCAGCTGCCAAATACCTTGGACGGTGAATCATGGGAAGTCGAGGATGTATCTTCTTGAAATATATCGCAGTCCTGTATAGCATTAGAAGGCGGATACAGATCTCGATTGTATGGGGAAAACTTGCAGCTCATCAATAACCTCCTGCGTGGGAAGGGGTTCTTCCAGCCCCAGTCTTATCAAGCTACCTTGGGGATTATCGCTGCTTGCTGCTCCTGCATGATATGATGTGGGAGTCGAAGAGATAGGATCGGCCTCTCCCTCCGGAGACTGCATATGAACACCATCCTGGGGAGAGATACCGGGCGCGCCAGCCGAATGGGTAATCACTGAAGCAATAGGACTATTGCCCTGGCTTTGCTGTACTTGTGCTCCTTGATTTCTAAGTAGAGTTTCGACCTGGGCTGCATAATAAGCGTGGTGTTAGCGGAGCAGACGATGAGATCGGCGCTCACATGCCTCCGAGCAGAAATCGAGCGTCAAATAATGACAGACAATGAACATACCCAGACGTGCTTCTAGCTGCTTCACATAACCCCGCTTTGGGCCGCTTTTCTTGCGCACTTCATCGAATATGCATTCATGACCTAACCGAGAGCATGTACCGCAACTGGGTCTCTTTCCATCGCATCTTAATTTCCTCCTTCGGCAAAGAACGCATGCGATACGCTTAGGGCGGGGAATATAATGGCTGTTTGGATTGTGATTCTCTGCGGCAATCGGCGCTGCCTCTTCATGCGCTGCACTCAGCTGTGGCTGGGATGGAGAAGCTTGAGTCTGCCCTGGTAGACGATTGGCATTATCAGCCATGGCCGGGCGCGCGATGCGGATGGGGAGCTGATGTGTGTCGAGAATGGCCTGCAATGTGGGCACAGCTTTTCCGAGCTAGAGGTGCTGTACCTCGATCATCGATACTTGGAGGCATCGAACGGGCAAAAAAGACCGGTATGCATAAAGAGAAGGCCAAAAAACATAAAAGCCGTTAGGCTATAGGGAAAGATGATAGGTGCACGGTCGAGCTTATGTCGGTCAGGCCGAGGACGTTACAGGACTCGTAACGGAACCAAGGATCCTAATTTGTTAGTCAGCCATCATGCTAACAAAGTGTAATTCGCGACAATTAAAGAGTAAAGCTTATAGCGGTTTTCCCGCGGACGTAAAGGCGATGTTAAACGTCGTGAGTTACTTAAGCGCGATGCGATGATCTTACTCCACTGACTTCGGCTCGATTCTATCGGTCTCAGCCAGTTCTAGACCCGCGGCTTGTTCGCCCCGATGCCGCCCTATCCCATGCCAGGACTGGTCGCTGTCTACTCCAGCAGATACAATACTCTCATAAGTAGAGGAGCTGATCATAATCTATATTTGCACTGTGTAATAGGATTGATTGTACTCTAACCCATGTAGTATACAAGAGAAACGCCGGAGCATAAACAACACATGAAGGAAATCCGGATAGAAAGCAAAGGAGCTGGAGTATAGACAGCTGGAATCCCCCATCGTAGCCAAGACAAAATAAAGTATAGTACAACAAGGTGAACAGGAAAAGACTTCCCACCATCTAAACCCACAAGAAGGACCTTCGACAGATGGGGACATTCCGAAGATCCATGCTCTGCTTTACCCAGCTTTTACCCCGAGCGATGATAGAATCACATTTGATATAACCGTGAGATTGCTGTAAGGAGGTCCAACGAATAAATAAGAATTTCATGTCCACGACGGCGTTTAGTGGTATCCACGACGACGCTTGCCCTGGTTGCGCTCTCTGGGATGAACCACAGCCTTGTTGATCTTCCACTTGGGACGGGTCTTGTAACCGGATTTCGCCTGTAAGAAAAGAAGACATTAGCACGGACGAGGCCTGGAAGCAAAGGAAGGAATAGTGAAGGGAGAATACATACCGGCATACCCCAAGGACTCTTCGGGTCAACATTACCCTTCGATTTGCCTCGACCACCACCGTGGGGATGTTCGGCGGCGTTCATGGCGAGACCACGAACAGTAGGCCGAATGTTGAGCCAACGGGAGCGACCAGCCTTACCAAGCTGGCGGTACTGGTGGTTAGGGTTGCTAGCGACGCCAACAGTCGCGCAGCAGTCCTTATGAATGAGACGAACTTCACCACTCTGAAGACGGATGGTGACGTGTTGAGAAATGCGCTCCTTTCTTTGCCTCTCGCGTTGCGTGAGAGGCTTCTGCTCAACGGCCCCGGCCTCGCCTTCTTGGCCGTCCGAATGATCACGCTTCGCCTTAATATCGATACCCTTGGCGATAACTGTCGCAAAAGTACCGGCACTACGGCAGAGCTGGCCTCCCTGACCAGGGCGTAGGCCAACATTGAAGACCAGAGTACCAACAGGCATCATGTGCAGCGGCAGGCAGTTTCCTCTCCACGCGGTTCTGGCAGCGAGGACACCAGGGTCTACAGTACCTCCCATGCTCTTCCAGAGTTCCTCCGGGATACCAGACATGTAACTGTGGACAACGTCACCAGCCCGCATGCCCTCCGCAGCCAGGATGTAACTGAGTTTCTTGGTCTCCTGGCTACGGACGAGAGCAATGTGAGCACTCCGACCAGGGTCATGTTCGATACGTTCCACCACGTGCGGACCGGGAGCGTCACGCGCAAAATCAACCATTCGTATACGACGCTTGTGGCCACCACCGCGATGGCGGACAGTCACTCTACCGGAGTTGTTACGACCACCCTTGGCTTGACCTCGTTTGGGGAAGGTCAACTTCTGCACCGGGCGTCCTTTCCACAGGTGGTCATTGATCGGTCTGCGCAAATGTCTGATACCGGGAGTTCGTGGAGTGTAGGAGCGTAGAAGGATACCGGCGTCATCACGAGTGGGTGGAGGGGCGAAGGCGATACTGGGGTCGAAGGTCGAACTTGCAGGCTCGTCAGCGGACGGATTCTCTTGCTCGCGAACGACAGTCGAATAGGCCCGCGACGAAACGGCCGTAGACAAGGTTCGAAACGGAAGACGAAGGCCCGTAAGGGCCAAGCGAGTCTGAAGCATATTGGAGTGTAATGTATGTGGTGAGGTAAAAAAGTCGGAAGGATTTCAATGTCAATCGGTCGTGATCGGAGATGTCAAAGCAATACCGCAATGTGGTACCCTAAGTGGTGTGAGGAAATCCAAGCAAGCTACTGCTTTGACATGCTTAGAATTAAAGACAACAAAACAGGCAATGCAAAATTTCCAGCGTCCCTGACACCACTATCAGCAACACCGTGCTCAATTGGAGTGTTGTTGGGGGCACCGGTGACAATAGCCGCACTTCTACTCGATCTCCGGAGCAAAAATGTCTGGCATGGATTGGGAGGTGTGGCTTGACGCTCTGGCACATGACTTGAATCGCACCGCCGCTTCCGGGACTGACTAAGTGTGGCTCAGGCTTTGAGTCACGGGACGGCGCGACACGGCAACACGTCCGAAGGGAACGAAAAAGCGTAAAAGCTCCGGGTCGGTTGCCGCGCAACCAGCAATTGTTTTGGCGATCGTGGCCGCGCTCCATCACGTTTTTGCTCGCGACGGGCGTTTGGAGAGTCGAGGGTGATTTCCTGCCTGGGTCAGCTCAGGCATCGACCATGGATGAGGATCCGCCTTGTTTCCCTTAGGGAGTCCTCCCGTAAACCGTGACTGTATGATTACCACCCTGCCTGCCACCTTTTACACCACCAATTTCGCCCTTTTTACAGCGACTTCTGCCAGGGAAGTCACGTCCGTCATACATACGCATACACATACATACATGCGATCGATCCATACAGAACCATAGACTTGCTTCTCTTAATTGCCTTCTTTCCCCCCCTTCGTTGCCGTCTCTTCCCGTCTGTCACTCTTCCTTTCCCTCCACTTCTCTCCTACCAACTACCACTATTTCTCAATTGGCCTTCACCGTACATACCATAATACCTGGGGACCGTGACTATTGTCTCCAGGCTTGCATATACACGACGTTGTACAGCAGTTAATAATCCGCAATCCACGCGATCCCACTGGATTGTGCTGTGGGGCATCTTTCCCAGCCTGGCCAGTTTCCACGCTAAGACTAGGGCCAAACATCCTCTTTGCCCTGTCAAGTTTACCACCTTTTCCTACTCCTCTCCATCATCATCTACTCCAGGGAGGCGACCACCACCCCTAATAGGACCCCGTTTCTTCGCCAAATTCTCGTGTCATTACTTATAAACTACTACCCTACCTTGCTATATCACCATAAAAACATACTTTGGGGCCGTCAACGCCGTGGAAAGTTACGTGTCTCGGGTCTTGCGAGCTCCTGTCAATAGCATCAACAAAGCCATATATGCCACGATTCTGAGCCCACTCCTGCCAAATTCCTTCCAAGTACCCAACCGTTCGACTTGAGAAACCTTGCATTCAGACTAATTGATTGGGGTTGGACACATATTCACGCGTGGTACGTGCAAATCTGCCTTCCGGCAACCGGTATTTGAGCTCCACTGGGGTAATCTCTCCTGGAATGCTGACTAGACTTTCCAACCGCCTGCAGAACCATACTCTTGCACTCTACTCTTATTCCCTTCTTTGCCCCTCCTTATATTCATTTCACCTTCTCCCCCTATCCATCATGCCACCTGTAAGTGTCCTTGACCTCTCACTACGCGTTGTGCAATCCTCGGTCGCGAGCTCGATGGGCTTGAAGGTCCATCTTGCACGCGTATATTTCTAACCGTTCAACAGGCTCGGAGTCTTCGTACGAGAGGCACGATGAACGAGAACGATGAGAATGGCCCATCGACGCGTCTGACGCGGGCCAAGGCCGCTGCCCTGTCAGTCAATGACGCTGGGGCTCCCCCCGCCAAGAAGCCGCTCCAGACGAAGAAGGCTGCAACCACCACCACTACCACCGGAACCCGGAGACGCGCCGCCCTTGGTGATGTTAGCAATGTTTCCAAAGCAGAGAATGGAGAGACCAAGGATGCCAAGAAGCCAGCTGCCACGAAGGTTGGCTTGACGTCTAAAGCAACATTGCAGGCTGGTGGAGTTCAGAAACTTACTCGCAACAACTCGTCACGCGCTGCCCTGGGACCCAAAGACAGCAACCCCAAGAAGCCTACCACAGAAACAAAGCGCCCCGGAAGTGGATCGGGTACCAAGCGGACATCCAGCGAGAAGGCAATTCAAGAGAAGGCAGCTGAGGAGGAACCGCGCCCCCGAAAGAAGGTCGAAGTCGAGAAGAAGGTTACCGAACAGAAGACTCTCACCGAGAAGCTCGCCAACGCCAAGGAGGATGTCAATGTTCCTGTCGATCCCAAGGTTCTGCAAAAGCCTGTCGATGATTTTGTCGACGATCTCGACGCCGAAGATCTTGATGACCCTTTGATGGTTGCTGAATACGTTGTCGATATCTTCGAATATCTGAAGGACCTTGAGCTGGAGACCTTGCCCAACGCCGAGTACATCGATCATCAACCTGACCTGGAGTGGAAGATGCGCGGCATCCTTGTTGACTGGCTCATCGAGGTCCACACCCGCTTTCGCCTCCTCCCCGAGACCCTCTTCCTTGCCGTCAACATCATTGACCGCTTCCTCTCTGCTGAGGTGGTGGCTCTGGACCGTCTTCAACTGGTTGGTGTCGCCGCTATGTTCATCGCGTCCAAGTATGAGGAAGTTCTTTCGCCACACGTTGCCAACTTCACCGATGTCGCAGACGGAACTTTCACCGATCGCGAGATCTTGGACGCTGAGCGGCACATTCTCGCTACGCTCGAGTACAACATGAGCTACCCCAACCCCATGAACTTCCTCCGTCGTATCTCGAAAGCAGACAACTATGATATCCAGACCCGTACTCTCGGCAAGTACCTCATGGAAATCAGCCTCTTGGACCACAGGTTCATGGGTTACCGCCAGAGTCATGTGGCGGCTGCTGCCATGTATCTGGCTCGTCTCATCCTTGACCGGGGTGTCTGGGTATGTTTCTTCCACACATCTTACAGGCTCATTATGCTAATTGATAACTTAGGATGCCACCCTGGCTCATTATGCCGGTTACACTGAAGAAGAGATCGACCCCGTCTTCCGCTTAATGATTGATTACCTTCACCGCCCTGTCTCTCATGAGGCGTTCTTCAAGAAATACGCCAGCAAGAAGTTCTTGAAGGGTATGTTGCCTCTATAGCATTGACGTTGGACCACCAACCGCTAACGTGACTAGCATCCATCCTCACCCGGCAATGGGCAAAGAAATACCACCACCTGTATATCAACAGCTCGCTATCCGAGCCCTACTCTTATATGAAAGACCATGAATAAATAACCCGCCGCCTCTGGTGACTTAATATCGGCGTCAGGCAGCACGACCGAGGATAGGAGTTTGTTGATTCCATATGATGGTATTTCTTTCGTGATGGTATTAGGCACCTCTTGCATATGTTTATGAACGGCATTTTGTTGTTTTCGGTTGCGGACGTTTGCATCTTCGCTTCTTCCAGGGGTGTCTGGCGCACATCTGGCTTTGTTTTTTCTGCTGTTCTTCGATTCTCTTCAATTCTGGTAGTGTCTGGGTTGTTTCGCACTTGCTTTGATACCTTACATAACCTTCTCCCGTCTTACCCTGTGTGACTTCCAGGCGTCGGACATTTCGAGGACGGAAATTTACTCGTTTCTTTTTATTTTTGGATCCAAAGTTCTTGTTCATCGGCGTCGGGTACTCTTCGGACTTATTACACAGCTTCCGCAGGACCGTGACGATCTATCTACTACCGCATTATGTTGGTCAATGCGTGCGGAATGAACCAATGCCATACAGCTACGACAGTACACATCGGGGCATAGATCAAGGTTGAGAGAAAGGTGAAAAAGGGCTTGTTTTTGGTATTAGTATCATTCATGTTGAGTTAGCGGGGGTATATCACGGATAGAGTGGCAAGGATTACGGTAATGTGCGTTAAGGATGGTTAGTTTAGCCTTGAACTACCAGGAAGTTTGTGTACCACCCCTTGATCCTACTTGCAGATCACCTAGATACAAGCCTTCTAAGTAAGCAAATGTGGTTAATGCGCGGGAAGTTTCCAACCTGCCAGTGACCTGGAGTTGGGAACCGAGGCACCGAGGATCAACAAGCTAGCCATCCCATATCTCCTCATCCTTCTGCACAGCAACCAAATCTCGAATTCCTACTCAAGATACCCCCCAGTGACGATCAAATTCCCTCTCTCCTAGCTCCAAAGCACAGACACATATTTAGTCCCGGTTGCTCTAAGGAACGGACCCAGTCACTACCCAACTACCACCAATCAATCTCAGGAACCCAACAACCCTTCATCCTATCCACCCCCAATCCCTTACCCCAGATATATCCATCTACTATCTATCTATCTATCTTACCCACCCAGCCAACCAACCCCTACCATCATGACCTCAGATCATCACCACACATGCCCCTTTTGCGCCATCGCTCACAAATACCCGCCCCTCCCACCAACGACATTCCTCCGCCCGAAGAATTCCTCCCACGATGATCATTTAAATTTAGCGGCTGCCGCGGCGGCGTCCACTACTACTGACATTCCTTCCCCGGATTCATTTACCGAGCCGAGCAATTCAGACGGCCCTGGCCATGCCCATCTCCTCCTGTCCACGAAACATGTCCTGGCGTTTTTGGATATTATGCCCTTGACGAGAGGACATGTTTTGGTTGCTACGAGGGAACATTGTGAGAGGTTGGGCGATGTAAGGGTGGCTGTAGGGAGGGAGGTACGTTGTTAACAGTTCTTTTTTGTTTTGGGTTTGTTCTGGAATTGGGGTTTACTTTTGCTTATTTGGATTTGAGTTGGGTTGTTATTTTATGTGTTAGTTATGTAAGGTTTGGATTGGAATGGGTTTGTTGGGTTATGGTAGTGTTTTTGAATACGTACTACAGTATTTACTATGGGTTATCTTACTTACTGACGCATGGAATGATTACAGATCGGCCAATGGCTCCCCGTTATCTCGAGGGTCGTGATGCGGACCCTCTTCGGAGAGGAAGAGCAAGGGGACTTCAACTCGTTGTGGAATTGGAATGTCGTGCAGAATAATGGTAGGTTCCGTTGCTAAGCATTTACTATATCTATGTTATGCTTGTGTAACCTTGACGGCGCGGCGATTTGGTTTGTCGATCTTATGGCTTGTGGAACCTTGGATGTCTACATGTCTTATTGTCCCGTATTTGAGATTTGGCGTTTAGGCTATTTACTTTATTTGGGATTTACTGGCTAATGAGTGGGGATTGGTTTAGGTGTCAGAGCTGCGCAGCAGGTCCCTCACGTTCACTTTCATGTTATTCCCAGGCCGCCTGATCGGCCGGCGGAAGGGAAGGGAAAGGCTCATTTGAGTTATGTTATGTTTGGGCGTGGGCAGAGGGAGGATTTGGATGATGACGAGGGGGAAGGTCTGGCTGGGTTGTTGAGGGAGGAGTTGGCGAGGGAAGTTGAGAGGGTTAAGAGGGACGAAGGGGTGGACTTGGAAGGTGAGTTTGGGGGATTTGGGGTGGAAAAGGGGAAGCTTTGATGGAATTTGTAAAAGTATAGATGTGGCTGTTTCTTGGTTTGTATCATGTTGGGCGTTCTAGAGTCATTATTGCTTTTGTTCGATTTTTGGTTATTGTCTAGTCTAATGCTGTTCATGAGGCGGAGCTTTCTCTTCCTGATTTCGAGCTGTCGGGCGGGTTCTTCATGAAATACTGATTGAATAGTTAGGACTGTATAGCGGTATACTGTGTCGGCATGGCATACCTTTCTTCTGAACTCATTCAATTCGTCTGCGTACATTCCCTGAGCATCAAGTTTTTGCCGGCCTTTGGAAACATCCGAGACCTGTCCTTCTGGTAATCTTCGATAGGTGATAAGTCGACGAGACCCTGGTCAACAGGTTAGCCGTGTACTTTATCTCACATGTTGTCTGGGAAGGCTTCATATGAACTTACAGGTGTAGAATGGTTGGACAGATACGTTCACTACCTCCAGGTTGGGGTGCATCGGTACGGCCAATTCAACCTCCTCGTCATTTGCCGTTGGCATCCACATGGCTAGGCGTCCATTTGTAACGAGGCTTCTGACGGCAAAGTTGAGGATATCGTTGAGCATCGCCTCGAAGCCGTAGGGCTTCTTAGGCGCAATATATCCGGGTCGACTGGACGCATGTTAGTTGGCATCCAAGTCCAGATACTGATACTCAAAATGCGGTAATGTAGACATACTAGTGAGCAGGAACTCCATCGATAATAACCTCTTCGTTCCTAAGACCCTCGCGTCTTCCAAGGACCCGGAGTCCTTCGCGGATTCCATAAGGCGGATCACAGATGATGCCATCCAAGAATTGAGCCGAACGCAAAGGCGTATTTGTAAGGTCGGAAGTAAAGACATCCATAAATTTGCCGACCATATCATATTGCTGGAAGTTCGACAACACTCCCATCGTCCCACCCCTCTCCATCATCTCTTTACCCCGGAAACTGCGTCCATCGATATCCGATCCGAACGTCTCAGCCCCGAAATGCGACATAGCCACCAAGAAGCTCCCCGTACCCACAAACGGGTCATAGAAGAGCTTTCCAGGCGCGGCATGAGCCATATTAGCCGTAATGAGGGTCAACTCCGCATCCATAGAAGTAGTGCTAATATAGCGTCTCTTCTTGAGGTCATATTTATTGACGACATCGCGACTACTATTCGCAATCCAGCGTCCAAAGTAGATAATCTTTGGCTCTTGGCCCTCCGGACGAGGCGTACCAGGCGAGTTAAGATCCAACCCGTAGTCCTCGAAGACCCAGAAATCCTGATCCGGGTTCTTCATGCGAATGGGGCCCTTGAACCCCAGGAAGGAAAATGACTGGATGATCTCGCGCTTCTTCTCACTGCTGCGCTTTCCGGCGAAGCTGTCAATGGTGAATCGGAACGACGAGTCCCTGTACTGCGCCCAGCGATCCTCCGTCCGCCTGCGGACGTCGGCGTAGACTTCGTCGAAGTTGGTGCCTTGGCCCCAGAGCTCGAAGATATCCTTGGCTATAATGCTTCGGGTAATCACTGCACGAGCTGCCGCTTCATCGGGTAGTCTTATGGTGCAGAATGGGGACTGGTGATGGTGGTTAGCGGCCGGTATGAAATGTAGATAGATGGTGGATAGTCATTGGTGCGGGGACAGAATAATGATCCCAATGAGGGGTGAGTGACATTTTCTGTTCCTCACGCGGGGCAGGAAACCACACAATGAATGTATGATATAGATTATCGGGGCTGAGGAACAGAAGAAAAGAGATTATACTTACATTTTTATCATAATGTATGAATTCGAGTTTCACGCCCGCCAGGTCAGCCAGTGCCTGGATCTCGGCCTGCCGAAAAGACTCATGGGCCTGGGCGAAGCGAATGAGATACTCCATTGTCGGTTGCACTCACGCTCGCCACGTATTTGGAGGATGTATCAAGATTCAGAGTTAGTGGTACAGGGCCAAATTGCCTTCAAAGGACTATTTTTGGTCCGCTCTGATCTGCTGGGGGTTCTTTGGTAATTAATGGCCGTTGACAGGAGCGGAAATAAATTTTCTTTTTGTTCCAGTGGATTGGATGGATTTGGCCGGGAACCCGCCATCTTTCACCCCAGGATACTAAGTATTACTTGCTGTTCTTAGGTCTCTCAACCAGCCTACTATGGGAACACAACTACTGGTACTATACTAGATAAGGAAATTCAATCTACAGCATTGGGATAAAACAGAGGATAAAGAAGAATATAGTAAATGAAGAAATAATAACGGTTTATCGCACAGGCTGATGCCAGTCAAACAAAACATAAATACATCGAAGCAGCAAGCATACTACATGCTGTATGGTACAGCTATGCACCCGATTAAGCATCCCTCATACATACTATGCCTCCCAACAAGATGACCCACAGAAACTGTTCGAAGAAAAAAACCCAAACTTACGCCGTCCTTGATATCCACAGAGCCAGAGATGACCAGGACCAAACGCCGCCGCTATGCGCCGACAACCTTAAACACATGTCGTGACTCGTAACCCTCCACTGGAAGCACTTCAACCTTCTCGTCTTCGGGAATCATCTCATGCTTCAGTTCCCATCCTGCTCGACGACAGAGCTCAGACACCACCACGTCGCAGTCGCCCAGTAGATCGATATCAAATTCCGTATGCGACACAGGCTGAGGTCTTGTTAGCAAAGCTCGAGGCGCAAGAGCACAAGAACAAGGTGGCTTACGGTACGCGAGATATAGAGCTGAGGAACCGTTCGAGGGAGCACGCCCGGAACCTCCGCTACAGGAGCAACCTTCAATGAAGTCCCAATAACAATAACGAGGTCCACCTGATCACGGTCATGGTGTAGCAACCGGCGGCCAAACTCATCAGGAAGATCTTCCCCAAAGAATGTAATGTCGGGCTGAAGAAGTTTGAATCAGCATATTGTAAGTAACAAATGTACAAGATGTGGTTTTCCACGAACCTTCATGACACCAGGGGTAGGTATTTCGTAGTCGTCATCAGTGCTGTCCCCATCATTGTCCTTGCGGTTCTTGTGGACTCCGTTGCTGCTCCGCTTCCTCTTGATCCCCGAATCTTCTGCGATGCGCTTGCGGCAAGCGTCACACTGAGGAATAACTCCCTGCTTAATCTCATCGAATATCTCATCCCCCTTGACCTTGTACTGACATTTGACACACGTAGCCGTGGCGAACGATCCGTGGCATTGCACGATGTTCTCTGGGAGAACACCGGCATTCGCCTCGATATTGTCGATATTCTGAGTGTAGTTGGTCAATAACTTCCCCTTATCCTGCAGAACACGGATAAAAGCGTGGGTCGGCGAAAACTTCTTCTCGGTTGGAAGAATGTCCTTCGCGATCGAGAAGAAGATACTGGGATCCTCGCGAAACACCTGGATGTCAAACACCTCCTGAGGATCGCTCAGGCCTAGATGCGCCAACTGTGAATAGAGACCAGTGTCCTTTGAACGGAAATCGGGTATTCCGAGACTCGTAGAAATCTGAGAGTATCCTATCAGCACACGTTTCATAAGCGGGTACCAATCCTCTTGATCAACATACACCAGCGCCAGTTAAGACGACGATATTCTTGCTCTCCTTGAGCAACTTGACCGCATCATCAATTGTATTATACTGTGGGAGCTTCGGGCGCCTGGAGAACTCGCGCGAAATCGCGATAGCCAGGAGAGGATGAAAGGCCTCGTCCGGCGCATCGTCTAGAAAGGCTGGGGGCAAGATGCCGAACGCAGTACACAGCTTCCGCGCAGTCACTTTGTCCTGACCCAGCGTTTCTTCAACAAATGCAGCCTTGCCAACCTCATGGAGTCGTTTCCGATAGGCGACGGCCTCTTCCAGTGTGCAGGCATCCGGTACTAAAACAAGGAGAAGATCCGGTCAGTGCGCGCATATAGAGGACATCATATAGGGTGCTTACCACCCTCACGGAGCTGATCGTCGCGTAGGACTTGGATAGCGTCTTCGTATAGAGACTGAGTCTCCCACTCGTCGCCGGAGCCGTCGCTATCGGTCTCATACTCCGACTGAGTCACTTCTTCCTTCGCAGCGGCTGTATTCTCCGTTGCGGTGCCGGTCTTTGATACTGCGGAGGCCATATCAACGGCTTCCACCTGGACCACCGGATCCTTCAACGAGGAATCATCCCCGCTGGGCGCTGAAACAAGGTCCATCCTGTATGGGAAGATAGGACGCTTCCAGCAACCTCTATAACGACTCCTCACTCACATTGAGCTATTTGCCACTCGAAGTCGAACTGCCGGAATAAATTTGGCTCTGGTTATCGCCGGGGGAAAGCGGTCGGATCCTACTTTATCCGGCGCCGTCTGCTGATAGAGAGACTATCGCAGCTACTACTAGTACTTACTACTAGTTCGACTACTGCTGGATCGTGTCCGCATAGGAGTCCTTTGAATAGCCGTAGGTTGTATCGGAAAACATGCCCTTTTATATACTGGTATCATGACAAAGAATTTCTCGTAACAATCAAACATGCAGCTTTTTTATGAGTCAGCCATCTCGTCATCGCCATCAGATTCCACCTCGATCTCCTCGTCCTCCCAGTCTTCCTCGCCCTCCCCGGCCTCATCGTCATCCATGTCTTCACCGATCTCCTTGTTCATCTCTTGGACCAATTCCAGTGCGTGTTCCTTAAGTCTCTCGTCCTCATACTGAACGAGGTCGTACAGCGTTAAGCTTTGCTTGAGCCATTCGCGGCTAGCCACGAGGGATGCATGGCGCCTGGCCTCTGGGGTGTTGCCGTCCTCTTCGTCGGCATCCTTAGGTGCTTGTTGCTTCCCGGCCAGGAGCTGCAGACACCATCCTCCAAGATACCATGCCTCCACACTTTGGTCGTCCTCCAAGATAAGGCGTTCCAGCACCTCTAGAGCCTCAAGCTCCATGCCGACCTCCATCAGGAGACGGGAAAGACTGATTCTTGTCGCAAAGTCAGGAATGGACAAGTCCTCGGGCGGTAGATCTTTCCAAAGATCGAGACTCCTCCTGAGCGCTGCTTGAGCCTCTTCTGTCCGTAGCTGCGAGATCCGGATCGATGCGAGGGTCTGTAGTACTTCGGGCGCATTCGGAGCGACAAGGAGGGCTTCTGTGATGAGTGATTCGCAACGGTTTTCCGCATCTTCTTCCCACCTATTGACAGTCAGCATCAAAAGATCTGCGACCAACCCACCCATGGGAAGAAGGACGAATTGAAGAGGGACTTACGAGAGATCGGTCATGTAGATCTCAGCAACAGCGCAGAGGGCATTCGCCATCTTGCGCTTCTTCTCGGCCAGCTCAAGAGCTTCCTCGGGGCCGGGTTTCTGCTCGAGCTGCTGGATAATATGCCTGAGCGACGACACTCCCTTCTCGAACCATTGAACGCTGTCCTTCCCACCCTGTTCGCTCAATTGAGCTAGCCATAGGAACTTCTCAGCACCGCCTCCTTCAGCCTCAGGGATCGTGCCATTCGGGTCGAGCTCGATGGCACGCATAAAGTGTTGTTTCGCAACATCGATCTCGCCCAGCTCAACGTAGATCTCTCCAACGGTATTAAGTGCCACTAATTGAGATGGAGAATTGTCCGGCGCATTGTTAAGAGCTTGCTGAGCTAACTGGAGAGCAGCATCCGGTTGACCGGTCTGAAGCTGTATCGTCGCCTGCTCGAGGAGCTTAGAGGGGTCTTCGTTCATTTTTTGTTTCGAAACCGAGCCGCCAGCGCCCAAAACGGACTTTGCGCGAGATTTGGAGGCCTTCTTGTTGTGAGGTCTTGATTTTCCCATGATCTATAAGCTGTAACGGAATTATATGTCAAACGTACTTGAAGGGGTAATTCGAGGACACGGAGTAAAGGGTAGAAAGGTTTTATAAACAAGAATATTGAGTGTAAATGCTTGAAGCTTTGAATTTCGAGAAGTCGGAGCATAGAAATTCCCTTTTTCGGGCGGGACAAATTTGGGCGATTCCTTATCTGTTTGTCTTGTTTGCATGTGGGATCGCAGCGTATTCTACTTACACACCTGAAGACCGAGGAATTCATTTCCCATGCACAAGCCTGTCAACGTCTAGACCATAAGACCTGCGACTATTTGCTTGGTCTCTTCGATTTAACATATTGCTAGATTTTTGAGTGTCTGAATCTTGAATTTCCAGCCATCGCCCTTGTTCCTGAACCCAGAACCAAACAATACCCCTCCAGCCCCGCCGGCGGCAGAATTGAAGCAGCATGGGCCGCGAAGACCAGATCGAAGAGCGCGAAGTGCTCGACTCCATTTTCCCCGAGGAAATCACAGGTAAGAAGGCGGCACTATACCCACCTTGCATGCTTCATTTGAAACCTCTCAAACAACAAAATCGCTGACCGAATCTCACCCCAGATATTTCTGACACCTCATACCGGATATCAATTGCTCTTGACGCACCCGAAAATGACGTCGAAGAAACAGAGCAGCCTGTCTTGCTCCTGCAAGTCACATACCCAGCAGACTACCCGGATGTTGCACCGGAACTAGAGTTGAGTGCGCCTCCGAACGCACCGAAACACCCCCGACTAGACATCAATGAGGACCGGGACCGACTTCTCGAAACTTTGCAACCGACCATTGAGGAGAACATGGGAATGGCTATGGTATTTACGCTGGTTAGTGCTTTGAAGGAGAGCGCCGAAGAGCTCATGGCGGAGCGCGTGAATGCCGTTCACGCCGAAAAAGAGATGGAGGCGAAGAAGGCGGAAGAGGAGGAGAACCGGAAGTTCCAGGGCACTGCTGTTAATCGGGAGACGTTCTTGGAGTGGCGCGACAAGTTCATAAAGGAGATGGAGGAGGAAGAGAAGAGGAAGCGCGAGGAGAAGGAGGCGGAGGAGAAGAAGGCTACCAAGAAGGGTCCGGCAAAGGAAGAAAAGAAGTTGACGGGCAAGCAGCTGTGGGAGAGAGGTCTTGCTGGAAGGGCAGACTTTGATGAAGATGAGGAGGATGGTATTCCGGCTGCTGTGGAGAATATGAAGATAGCTGCTTAGAAGCTGGGGTCTCTAGATGAGATCTCTGGCGAG